TTCATCATTTAAAAAAAAAGATACAAGAAATCTTATTTGACTATACATGGATTAAAAAAAAATTAAAAAAAAAAAAAAAAAAAAAAAAAAAAAAATGGTCCCTTCTCCTTAGAAATGTGCTCCTTCACACTGAAAGAGTCTTTTGATGGTTTATTTGCTGATGTCCCCCTCTGACATGGAGCAGCACTGCTGTTACACAATGTGTTTATAACACCAGTAATAGTAAGTCTGATAAGTGTTTTATATTGTAACAGGCCAAAAAAAAAGTTATGACAGGTCCATATAACATTCAAAGTAGAGTGGCTCACTATTGTCAGAGGTAAGGGTCTGCAAATGTCCATGAAATATCCAGGCCAGATTGCGCCATCTTTCTTATTATTCAGCTTAAGGTCAATCAATACTTCCAGCAATAACACAAACTTTTTTCTAGATATACCTATTCCAGTTACTTTAAAATTAAACACTTCAACTGGAATAACTGAGAAACATACACTCACTGACCCACGCACACTGTATGCTCACACCCACATCAGCCTGTTCTGGTCTTTTTATTTTCTATCCTCAGATACCTCCTGCCCAACCACACACTGTTACATATCAGTTCTATCAGTGCAGCTGGGATATATATATATAAATATAAAAAAAGGGAGAGAAAAAAAAGGAGCAGTAACAGGATAAGACAGGATCGGCCCACTGCTTTGTGTTAGTTAAATACTTGAACTTATTTTGCTTTTAAAAGAAAAATAACAATTATCAAACTAATCTGAAGTATTCGGGCTTGCCGCAGCTCAAAAATGTCTCTGTGCCGAGATGCCCTCCAATAAGGCACTCAACCTCAGTAAACAGCCTAAGCAACCTGACAGCTCCTGTACAGAAGGTATGGAAAAGTTTTGACTCTTTTGGAGGGAGCATTCTTTAAAAAACAAACAAACAAAGGGAGTGGGGCTCAGTGTAAACCTATACTGGGGGCGAATGAAGGCTCTGACAGTTAAATAAATAAATAAATATGTTAAAGAGGGATTTTGTCCTTTGCCGGACAGATATGTTGTTTTTCTTGACAAGTCGCTCTCCATTCGTACTGTAGGTCCATACGGCACACGCACACAACACTGTGTGTGTGTGTCTGAAAACATCAAATAAAAGTGTTTTTTTTTATTTTCTAAAAATGCTACAGTAGTACCATGTCTACTATGTTCCTCTCATTCCAGTGTGGCTTCACGCCAACACGTTTTTAACTACTCAGGGCAACAAACGCACTCAGATGAGACTGAAAGAATACTGACAATGTTGCCGTGAACAGTAATCACAGCTATGATCCTTTTTTAAATGTGCAAGAATAAAAGTTGAAAGGACTAAGGTCGTTTGGTATGAAGGGTACGCTCACCATCTCCTTCCTCTATTGCTCAAGGACAGGAAAATTCAGTCAGGCTTGTAAAAAGGCTGAGAATGGAGAGCGAGGTTTACAGCGGGAAGGAGGAGCCTAAAAACACAAAATGCTAATTACAAATCCGGTAAGGAGATGTAGTGTTATACTAGTCTGCCTTGTGGAGATGTCGCTTTGCAGGCCGTGGCGTCTGGCCCTCCTTCAGCCCACTTTCCTCAGCTCCTCTGTCCTGAGAGACTGCTTCCGGTTGCCCTCCCGTTCAGACCGGCGTGGGCCTGACTGATGGAAGGTGAGGACTGCGTCTTTCGAAGGTGGCACTCCTTGCCGGCCAGGTCACTGCCCATAATCAGGCCGCCCATCATACTGGCCTCAATTTTCTCCAGGTCGTCCGTCTCTGTGCGGATCTTGGCCTGCAGGAGGCTGATGTACGTCTCATATCGAGTCTTCTGCTCAGAGAAAAAAGGCGAAGCAGGGAGGGACAGGTGTGTTCAAACAGTTAAAGCCAAAGAGGCTAATTTGATCACAATGGCAGCTACTGCCATGCACTCTGTATCTGGTTAGGTTTGATTGAAACAGGAATTTAGCTCTCCTATTACGCTGCACTCTTGTTAGGTCACACATGCATTAGTTTCGGAAAGCTGGTTATCACAAACAAATCATCTACATACCGATCACATGTTAATGCTTAGTTTTAATTGGATAACTGTTGAGGGGTGATCCGACTGAGACTGAAAGCTTAAAAAATGCAAGAACTAAAGCTGGCAAACAATCTCATGTGGTTGCAATGCATAGCTCGTCAACTTAAAAGGCAGATCAAATTAATTGAAACTGCACAGCCTGTACCTCGTAGGTGAGGTAGTGCTCTTTAAGCCGATACTCCTCCCACTCGCGGCTTTTCGGGTCTGCCACCGGCTGGTTTTTCCTGTGTTCTTCCAGCTCCAGACTCATCTGCTTTAGCTTGTTCTCATGACTCAGCAGTTGCTCTTCCTGCACCAATCACAGCCCAGACAAAAGCCAGGGGGATGCCCCAAAAACAGCCAATGAGACAGAAGCAAATAGAAGAAAAAAAAAACTAACACCTTTCAAGCTGGTGTTTGTTACTAGACAAGTTACAGATTAGACACTGGTTGTTGTACGGATTACAGTATCTAATATTTATAGTGAGATAAAACATATGACAAGCAGACCTGGTTGAGTCTGGTAGATGATGACGGCAGAATGGGCCGACAGAATTTCTTCATTGAGCCAATGGCGGCAGGGAAGGCCGGCGCAGAGAACAGAGCTGCCACAAGGTTTATCCGGAAGATCCAAGACATCATCTCCTCCTCACTCCTGGTTTGGAGAGATGTTGCCACAGCCAACATAAGGGCATTTGTTGCAAATGAGAGTTTAAAAAAAAAAAATGAAAGAAAACTATTCTATTCAATTCTATAAAAAATTGATAGAAGACACACACACTTAACATTATTGGGTCCAAGACCAAACTAAGCCTTTTTTATTTGTTTTTTAAGTCTTGCATGACTCACCCAGCTTGCAGCAAAAAGACCCTCCAGTCTGAGGTTTTGAGCTTCAGCACATTTGTTCTCTTGCTGTAGTCTGTGGCACAGGTGGCTAAAGCATGGTGGATACGCACGGCGTTCTTAAGGTCCACTTCTGAAATGTCGGTGTCTGGCTTATACTCGTCCTGTGGAAGTCAGCAAGGGAGAAACTGTAAGTAATCTACCAGGCAAAGGAATAACAGCTCTAACTAGTTGGCTATGACCTCGCATAAGGGCAGAGCAGCCTTTCCACCACAAGGGGGAGACAAACACAGACCAAAAAAAATCCTCTAAAAGCTTTTTCCATCTCACTCTTTATCAAGCACGGAGCTAATCAGCTCACAGTATCCACCACTGCTGTCACTGCGGCGGTGGATGTGTTTCTATGGCAACACAGCAGCAGATGTTATGTGGTACCTTCTGGAGATATAAGATCATTCCCTTCAGAACCGCATAGAACTTTTTCCAGCCTCTGCGACCCCTCGGAGCTGAGAGAACAAAAGGTTCAACAAAAAAGGATTTAGAAAAAAGTCAATCCTTTTCTAACTTTGCTTGGCGAGTTTTGTGCGCACGCTCACTGCGTTTGCCGTCCATGTCAGCGTGACTCTTGCGGGTCAGCACTCCGTGCTTGTAAGTGACCGCATTTAGTAGAATGGGAATGGCGATGAAGGGGTTATTGCCATCCGTTACCCTGGCAACACGCTTCGTCCCCCCCTCACACTGCTCCTCTACCAACTCTGACAGACTCTTCCTGAGCTCCTCCTCCTCACTGCAAACACACAGATTCCCATTCAGATAATCCCATAGCAGCTCATAGTCCAGCGTTATTCATGTGCACAACAGTTACTCACACAGCCCACTCAAGCTTCTCATTCTTGATTGAGTTATACAAGACCTGTGTGGACGATAAAATAATTTTAAAAAACACTTGCTTTCATTATTGGAACTGTTGGAAGTTGGAACTGTAAACATAAAACTAATGCGGCAAGAAAAGGCAGTACCTTTAATAAATCTTTGGGAAAATCTTTGCTGTTGTTCAGGCCATCGAGATTACTAATAAACTGCTGGCAAGACATCTTCTTCCCAATGTTCTGAGGAGAGGATAAAAAACAAAATGGACATTTCGCAAATCTGTGGAGCAAAATGAGTCAGTTATGCGCAAGTTCGAATGAACATTTCCAAGCCTATAATCATTTCAGCCCAGTTTTGAAACTCTTAACTGGGTGACAATTTAAATATGCCCACCAGGTGGCTGTATTACTCTAGTAGAGTTCAGAAGTTGTTCTAAATTAGGCGAAGTCTCTGTTATAGCTCATTTAGCATCAACTTACCACACCTTTCTGTGTGTAACCTCTAATCAGGACGCATCATTACGAGGTAAAACCAGATGGAGATCTTGGTGTAAAAATGACTCAGTTTTAATTCATTATAACCCGCTGGAGGCCACATAACACACAAAATAACCCTGTTCCATTGTCTAAGAAAAGCAAAGTCAATTCAGAGGAAGAAAATCAATTAATTGTGGGGAAAGAAATATTTAAATTCAATTCAATTAGATTTTCAGCAATCAAAAAAGACAATGTCTCCATTGTTTTATTTAAATCAGAGATATCTGTGTGTAGAACAAAGCAATGTGGCCTTGGTGCAATTAGTTATGATCATTCCAGCCTTCAATCAGCTGGCAAAAGGGGGGTAAACATCAATGAGGACAAGCGTTAGTTGTATTAGAATACTTACCACCTGCAAGGGCAGTCAGGACCAAACACGAATAGCAGGGGGAGGGTGGAAAAGGAGGAAAAGGAGGCGGAAAGAAAAAGGTGTTAGTTAGAGAAGGGAAATTAATCAAAACAGCGAGCGTCAATGAGCTTTGGGATTAACGCTCAGGAAAGGCAAAGCTTAGCACTGAAGGAGTCATTTACGTTGACCACAGTGCTCCTGTTCTTACACTGCACAGATGAGGGGAGAGGAGCAGAGGAGAGAGACAGAAACAGGTCAGGAAGTAGGCCAGGATGCAGTCAGAGAAAAAGGGAAGGATGCCAGACAGAGAAGGAACAGGGGATGAGCAGAGAGGAAGATGTAAATGATTACATCATCACATTGTTTTAAAAGAACCATCTTTATGCTTTGTTTCTCTGCTAGAAGAAGGTAGGAGTAGGGGATTATGTGTATCCAGAAGAAGATACATACATGTCCATGTAGATCAGTGTTGAGAAGCATTAGGGCACAGGTTAGCGTGTGGGCACCATCTACAATGGGACAAGGCCGAGGTTAGCTGCAGGTCACACCATGTTGTTTTTACGGTTTGCTGCAAATCACTTCAACTTTACCACTGAAGTAACGTACCGTCACTGATAATGCCAATATCCACCAGCAAAGTAACTCAAAATAATTCAAACGCTTTATTTGAACAAATTCTCTTCACAGGAGGTTGGCCAAGCATCTATCTCACGCACTGCTGCTCCGCTTTTTTAAACGTTTTCTGTTACGTCCCCGTTTCGGCTGGCTGTGTTTTTCCAAAAGTCAACACAGTAGGACGGACGCTTTATTAAGATTTGGCTCGCAACCAATGGCTGTGAAGAGAGAAAGGAACTCTCTCGCCGTGGGGGTCGTGTTCCATGTCAGTCACACTGTGCGCACATCGGGTCAAGAGCAGATTAAAATGTCACCGTATTTGCTGCCCAGCAACATCCAACAGGGAAAATTAAGAGAATCCACAATGTCACAATTCAAATGGAGCAGATTTTGGCAGAATAACGCAGAAACTACTACGGTGTTACTATTGTCAAGTTTCTAAAGATTTTAAATATGATGTAAAGTCAGTGAGCATTTATTACATACTACTTCCAATGCTACAGGTCAGCAGGTCCTGCTACCAAACTAAGAAAAGGTCATGCTAATGATATACCCTATGCGAGAGGAATAAAGAACAACAAATGGTCAGATTCAAACTACTTTTTGTCACAGGTGTAATTTTTCACCACCCGAGTTGGGTTTAAAAATTGAAATCCTAGATTCCAACAGGTCATTTTCCGCCATAGTTTAAACTAAAAGCCTGATCTAAATAGTGCATGATTCAGTTCTTTAAATCACACTTGTACTCAGCTTGTTTGGTCAGACGACAGTCAGTTCATTTGGTTTCTGAATGAATTTTTTACTATGTACCATTACTATGGTTAGTTTTTTTTATAAATGCCATGAGTTACACATAACTATGCATCATCAAAAGCCCTATGGTGCTGAAAATGATTGCTAATTGTCAGTGTGAGCGTGACTGCTCCAAATGTGGAGCCAGCCTCACCCTCGGAGGTTAGCGTCTGTGGGTTGCAGTGGCAGAATCGTCTGGAGAAGTGAACAAGGACCCTCTCTCTCTCCTGGGTTTCTCCCATCAGGGGAAAGGCCTTCAAGAAGTTCCTGCCAAACATAAACCACCCAATTAAACATTCTATGCAGAAAAATTCAATTAAAACTGCTTTTTTCTTTTGCAGAATTACTCTGCAGGGAGACTACTTCCTACTTCCTGGCTTTTTTAAAATCACACTGTAATGAAGCTGTGTCAGCTCCACAGGCTAGCTAAAGCTAAAAGCACTGTGAGGCAGGGACTGTGAGAAGAGAGTGCTCTCACACACTCATCACCCGGAAGTGCCGAGCGAGCGTTACCTCAGGGCTCGATCCAGTGACAGGCCGGAGAAGTCGAAAAAGCTCAAGTACTCTGACGCCACCAGCTGGCTGAAGTCATTACTGCAGAGACCCAGAGAAAGGAGGTTTGAACGTCGTTAAGTGATATTACAGCAAAGCCTATATTGTTAGAAACACATATTTGTGTCGGCTGTATTTTTCTGCTACTTTCATCAGTGCAGGCATTATGTCTGTATGTATGCACACGTGTGTTCAGTGCTCACTTCTTGCCCAGGTGTCTGGCAACATCGCAGCGTTTGAAGCCCTCGAGGTGATAGAGGCGTTTGGCCAGTCTTTTGGCAGCCTCACAGTCCGGTCGGCAGCCGTTGGCCAGAGTGTCAGTGCTCCCGCGCTCCAAACGCTCCAGACTGCCCAAATCACACTCATCCGAGTCAGACAGCACGTCTGTGAGGCTGGCATCACTGGGGAGGAGAACATACGCAAACACAGACACAGATCAGGTTAATAAATGGGACACATTCATTTTCAATCATTTAAAACACTCAGACCTAAAACTAGTCAGAAGAAACTAAGCTGCCGAGCACAAAATTCAATTACAGAAGCATACGCTCGCATAACCAGAATACATTTTGAATTACTTCTCACATCAAACCAAGAGTAATGCCCGCCTCTGAAGCAGTTGACATAGAGGATTTTATTGTTAGAAAATACAACCTCCAACGTCTGACATCGTTTGAATTAATGTGCTACACCTCAATTTTTATCTACAAATGTAGGCATTCAATTTTCAAAGTAAGACAGGTTCACAGACCTCAATCTTTGAGGGATAACATATTTTTATCCACCAGATACGGGCAGTTACGAGTTCATTAAAAATCCAACAGACTTTCAGAAAAGGCTACAAAAGGGGGGGGGGGGACACATCCTGACCTGGTAACCCAAACACAAAGCAGGCATGCATCACGTCTCACAAGGTGAAAACAGTTCCACCTCACTGTTGATGGTATGAACACAGAATATTCTCTTCCAGGTACTTCGCTCTCAGCATACCATCCAGCAATCTGAAGCAGCTATCAGATCATCTATGTCATGCTTCTTGTCTTTCACTACACCATCTATTCCAGCCATCACAGGGTGAGTGAAAAAAAAGATTAAGTGTACAATTTTTGCCCTGAGGGTGTAGTTACAAAGACACCAAAGAGCTGATGGGAGAAATGAGAATGAAAGTACCTTGTCTCCAACACTGACAAAATTATTTTGTAAGGTACCGACAAACCGCTTTGGCGCATCAGTTGTCAAATACACTGGGAGATACAGGGGTTGGACAATGAAACTGAAACACCTCTCAAATTTAGTGTGGGAGGTTTCATGGCTAAATTGGACCAGCCTGGTGGCCAATCTTCATTAATTGCACATTGAACCAATAAGAGCAGACTGTGAAGGTCCAATTAGCAGGGTAAAAGCACAGTTTTGCTCAAAATATTGCAATGCACACAACATTATGGGTGACATGGCAGAGTTCAAAAGAGGACCAATTGTTGGTGCACGTCTTGCTGGCGCATCTGTGACCAAGACAGCAAGTCTTTGTGATGTATCAAGAGCCACGGTATCCTGGGTAATGTCAGCATACCACCAAGAAGGACGAACCATATCCAACAGGATTAACGCTGGACGCAAGAGCAAGCTGTCTGAAAGGGATGTTCGGGTGCTAACCCGGATAGTATCCAAAAAACATAAAACCACGGCTGCCCAAATCACGGCAGAATTAAATGTGCACCTCAACTCTCCTCTTTCCACCAAAACTGTCTGTCGGGAGCTCCACAGGGTCAATATACACGGCCGAGCTGCTATAGCCAAACCTTCGGTCACTCGTGCCAATGCCAAACGTCGGTTTCAATGGTGCAATGAGCGCAAATCCTGGGATGTGGACAATGTGAAACATGTATTGTTCTCTGATGAGTCCGCCTTTACTGTTTTCCCCACATCCGGGAGAGTTACGGTGTGGAGAAGCCCCAAAGAAGCGTACCACCCAGACTGTTGCATGCCCAGAGTGAAGCATGGGGGTGGATCAGTGATGGTTTGGGCTGCCATATCATGGCATTTCCTTGGCCCCATACTTGTGCTAGATGGGCGCGTCACTGCCAAGGACTACCGAACCATTCTGGAGGACCATGTGCATCCAATGGTTCAAACATTGTATCCTGAAGGAAGTGCCGTGTATCAGGATGACAATGCACCAATACACACAGTAAGACATGTGAAAGATTGGTTTGATGAACATGAAAGTGAAGTTGAACATCTCCCATGGCCTGTCCAGTCACCAGATCTAAATATTATTGAGCCACTTTGGGGTGTTTTGGAGGAGCGAGTCAGGAAACATTTTCCTCCACCAGCATCACGTCGTGACCTGGCCACTATCCTGCAAGAAAAATGGCTTAAAATCCCTCTGACCACTGTGCAGGACTTGTATATGTCATTCCCAAGACGAATTGATGCTGTATTGGCCGCAAAAGGAGGCCCTACACCATACAGATAAATTATTGTGGTCTAAAACCAGGTGTTTCAGTTTCATTGTCCAACCCCTGTATATCACACCACTAATATGCCAAAATGAGCCAAAGTAGCATGTTTCTCAGGAGAAATTGCATTTAGCTCTGGAACAATGACAAACCGATGAAGAATATAAAAACTGAAGAAACATAGAGGTTTTATGCTTTTACTTTTCCAATAGTTTCGATAATGCAACACAAAAAGATGCCTCCAAATGTTTATTCCACCTAACAAGTGGCCCTATGCTATGCAGATTGCAGCTAAGGGAGTTGAATTAACTGTCCAAACAGTCTGAGGTCCCACGCTCTGTGCAAATGCTAAGTTCTTCTCAACTAAAGAGAGAATCAATGCGGAGTATCAATTAGTGCCCTGCTTAGTTATTTATGATTTACCATGGCAGGCTGAATGATGCTGAACTGCAGCCACTCTACAGCTTTACACTGTATGCTTACAGCTGCGACATGCCAGAGCCAATCAGCAGGAAGTGAATTGGCCTTTTTTATTGGCATTTAAATTTATTGTCATGATTTATTTTGACTGCGTGTTCATAAAACGTTCCTTGATTTAAGGTAAATGGGCAGAAGGCAGCCAAACAGGCTTTTTTATCAGTTTACAGTGTGTCGTTCGCCACCAAGCCCACCTCCACATGCAAAAAATGTAGCATCAGCATGAGCAGGCTTCCTTTTCCTCCATTAATTTCAATCGCATTTCCTCGTTTCTGAGACTGTGTGCATCCATATGGCACCACCAGCACTATGATGATGGTTATTCCAATAGTTTTTATTTCTATTTGGAATAATCTGATTAGCCAAATGTCATTAACCTCACAAATTAGCTGAAAGGAATTAGCAGGTTACCATGGATACTGGATCAAACAACAGACAAATACTCATAAAGCAAAAACTAGCGGTTTCCATGGCAAGAAATCCAGCCATCCTGAGCTACACCCCCATAGATGACCTTCAGACAGGGCCTTTGTTTCTGGACAAGGTTGTAATGCAGAATTCTTGGCTGAATCCTTTATCTTAATTTGCCTTTTGACTGGTCAGCAAGAATTTGCCATGGCAAAAACAACCCCAAACAGTGCTATTTCCAGAGTCCCAAAGCACATGAACTCCTCCAACACGATGAGGTGGCTGGAGCAAACTCTTCCAACCTTATCACTGCACAGCATCGCCAGCAAGGACGGCGACAAGATTGTAGAAACATTTTGGTGAAAAAAACGCCTCTCGCAGGGCTCAGCCGTGGGGACAGGGTGGGGAGTTTCCGAGAGGAGTAAAACCACTGCTATTTGGAGGGGTGAAGGAGCCATCTGATTTGCTTTGGAGATCCATCTGAAATTGCTTCCTGTACTGCTCCCACCGGAGGTATTCTGGACTTGTCAAGCAGGGAAGAGATCAACTCAGACGGACAACACATCCCATTAATCTAGCTCATTTTTCAGCCCGGTTGGATGGAGATACGCGGGGAAAAACCCATTCCACACGAGTACCTCAAAAAACTTCCAGTAGATGAAGAGAAGAATAAAAAAGGGGGGTCCTTTCGTAAACCCTCACATCAATATCTGTCCCAGCGTTCACAGCAGAAATTTCTCCCATTTGTCTGGCCGTAATAATTTGCTTGCCTCCAAAAGATCTCATAAATCATTCAAAGCTCATATCTGTCACGGGGCTAAAGCGATACAACCGCGCCCCCCACCCCATCCCATGGTGACAGAGCCACACAAACACTAAGCGCTGTAAAGTAGGAGGCAATATTAAGAGTCATATATCTAGGTCAGCTCGTCAGCCAAAATGCTCAGAGTTACTGAGGGCCAAGTGGCAAGGAGTGGAGCTGTTCGTCTATCTAAAGGCACAATTCTGTGTCCCCAGGCCAGGTTTTTTTCAGTCACTGCGACTGCGACACTCAGTCTGGATGAGTGTGCACGCTTTTGTCAGTCATAGAGCATGATGAGGCATGCCAATGACTCACATGGTAATCTCTATGGGTGTGCACCACCAGTACCCACAGGTGTGTCTGCATGGAAGTGTGTGTGTGTGCGTGCGTGTGTCAGTGTGTTGGTGTAGGGGGAATGAGGGATGAGAGAGAGGGTCTTAACAGCATCCTCTGAGAGAGCATTATCAGCAACCAAGACAATAACCAAGTTGAGAAAGGTTTTTTTCTTTGATTTTCATGGAAAACTGTACTGTAACGAAGAGGAGTCATGTGTGTCTGTGTGTGAGAGCACGCTGCAGCTTGTTGTTGGACCTCTGTACAAATCATTCATGTAATACTGGAAAATTGATGTGGAAATTTAAAAAAAAAAGGTTAAATCACACCAGGTGAACCCATTTGAACTTTTGATACTGTTTACTGATCGTAAAGGAACTGAGAGGCACACACTGTTGGGTTTCTGCATGTTTTTAACACCGAAAAGCAGTTTGATTAACTTTTTGGAGCATCCTGTGGGTCGTCTGTAATGAAACCCCTTACGTCAGAAAGAAAAATTATTTATTTGATCATTCATACAATGTATCATTACTTACTGAAAACTCTTAAATAATCTTATTTTATGTTTTAGCCATAAACTGAACATTTTTAGTATTTAAGCATTTACCTGCTTTGAAAATTCTATTGATTTTTTTTTTTATTCTATCACATTCTATGTTTGACCTGATAAAAATACTTATTCTTATGAGACTGTCGTTTTGAATCCTGATAAAAATCAATGGTAAAATCCTACACGAGGCACAGTTTAGCGATAATCTGATGATTTATGGTTGGGGGCTGAGTTTTTCAACGTGTTAAAGACACTATCTGCTCTGCTTTTAGGGCCATATACGCGTCAGTAAGAATACGGCAACAGTAAAAATGCACCGCAAACATCACTATTTCCACTTTTGCCACGTTCGAGTTCCCACCCATGTCTACTGCAAACGCTCAAAAACTGGCATACAGAGACGTTAAAACTCACAGGAGCTGCAGCAAAAAGTCGAAGTGATCATTGTATTCCTCTGTCCACATGTCGGATCTTGGAAATCGGCGTTCGAAGGCGCGCTGTGGTCCGCCCGCCTCATCATCCAGGAGTCGGTCAGTTGTGCATCGGCCCGGTTTAGTTGCTCGAATTAAACTCGAATCCGACGTCTTGGGCGGCGGTTAGGTTCAAAACTAACCAGGCGTTTGGTGGAGTTGGTGGTTTTGAGGTGTTTTAATGCACGGAGGCGCCACTGGGCAACTGTTTTTAAGGGCTTTTCCTTAAAAGTTCCTCGGCCGGTTTGGACGCACCACAGAGAAGAGGATGTCGGAGGCGGAGCCACCGAGAGACTGCACAGATTTTTCCTGATGAAGCGAGCTGTTCCCGGTGGTGGCGTTACAATGGCCCTTGTGTGTCCCAGCCAACACAACTTCCTCTGCATTAAAGTAAAAATCAGCTCAGGATACAGGCTTTTAGGTAGTTGCTTTTCCTGCATACTGTTACCTCTGTGTTGCTTTTGGATGGAGCAAACAACAGGGTTGTGGACTATAGAGTACAGCCAACTGGTAAAATAGATCATTCTGAACAAATAATGCGGCACATTTTCGCAGGCTTGCTTCAACCTCCTAACCCCTCGTTCCTCTTTCTAATTCGGTGGAAAGAAGAACAATGGAAATAGCAAATGGACAAGTATCTGTGGGTTCATAAGTGCTAAATTGGGTCATGAGCTGACAGATGTAGAGAGAAAAAAACAGCTATTTTGGACTGACATGCGTTATAATATTCAATGTAGTCTTATTCAGGGCCTGAAGATTATTATCAGGGAGACTACAGGCAACACAGAATTAAAGCAATTTCCTCTAAAACTGAACAGGAATTCAGTAAGCAATGAGACTTGAGGTTTTTTTTCTCTTTTTTAAATTTTATTTATTTTTTACTGATGATTTGTGGACACAAGTCACCCTGCCATGACTCACAGATAATGTTGTCATTCACATACAAGGTGTTTTCAAAGAATTTCTAAACTTCATAGCGTGGCGTATACTCTAAAAGGCTTTGGAGTTTTCAACTTTAGGCTCAGTCTAGAAACCCAGAACTTCATGCATTTTAAAGCATGTTAGCATATCCAAAAGAGACAAATATCCTTATATAAATTTGGTATTGATGGTATATTTATAATATTGATGTGCCAGTTTGAGGTCATAAACAGTTATTAAACAGGACCAGCCAAAAATTCAATTTCTGCCTGGATAGTAGAGAGTATGGATGAATTAAACAACAACCTTAAAACAGGAATGAAGTCCACTTAAAACTTGGGAAATGAGCCCTAATAAAAATTATTAGGGCTCATTTTACCAGCATAGCTTTGTCTTATAAAATGACTGCTTTAGCAGTTTAAAGACAACATTTGCGCAATTAAAATTTGTAAATAAATCAATCTATTTGTGATGGACCACCAACCTGTCCAAGGTATATCCTGCCTCTTCCCCTATGACAGCTGGGATAGGATTGCAATCTTTTTTCTTGTCTCTCTCAGACTGCTATAACTCCTGACAATGTCCTCTAACACTGAATCGCACCATGAAATGGTTCAGAAAACAAGCTGTACTGAGTTTATTCTATTCCTTCACTGGCTCTCAGCAAAAAGCAGAATTTATTAAATCTAGGAGTTAAATTATTCCACGCACTGCATCACTTTTAGTGTGTGTACAATTTTTTTTCTTTCAGACATTCTTATTTTGTGTTTGAGCTTAAGTTTAAATAACTAAAACTGAACATTATCAACCCTGTACACAGTTAACAATGTACCATGTACGGGTCTGTTAATCACTTTATGTGTAAAAGTGTGCTTCTATGGAAAGATGTATTCAAACAAGTATATAATTTCATACATGCCCATCTTCGAAAGCATTTACAGATAATAAGTGAGCATCATCATTGGACTACAGACTGACTGGCGGCAGATGAGGATGATCTGTGTCTGATTGCTCACATTTTTCATCATATAGATAGCAATGTGCTTGTGGGTCTTTTATCTGGTGAATAGATGGCAGCAGGATCCACAACAGAAGGAAGCAAACTGACAGTAGGACACACTGAGATATTCTACTAATTCTGGTAATTCTGCCCAGTTCCAGCAAACAAGGACCATATCCTCACTACCGGTTTTCAGTGTGATTGTTAATAAGCATTCATGATAATTTGAAGTAATGAAAATGAGTAGATGTAGGAGAGAGCTGGCACACTCTGTCAGGATGTGGATTCACAAACTGTATAATATATAGAAAAGACCAATGTAATCTCATTTATTAGTTCAGATCTATCTTATCTATTTCATAGACCAACAATAAATAGTACGATTTGCTTAAAAATGTTATTTTTTTGCAATGTAGAATTCTCTTATATGGACACATAATCTTTCTAACCCCCCCACCCTTCACCGGAAAAAAAAACAAGCAAACACCTTCTCAGCTGTTGACAATAGACAATGGTGACCTCTTTTGGCTGGTTGGGACTAATTATGTTCAGGTGTGAGACTAAGGCTGGAGAAACCCTGAGCACAGCGACCCCATGTGACGATGGACGGGGGAAAAAAGCAAAGGAAAAACATCTCCAATTTCAAATGTGAGGACACTAAATGCCTGAAGATGAGAAGCCTCAGAAAGGAGAAATTCCTGGTTGGGAGGAACCTCGCTGCAGGCATGGCTACAGTAAGATTGTGGTACGTGTCTTAAAACATGGAGTGGAGCTATAAATAGAGTGGGATAAATCTGTCATGACATTATTCAGTTACTTGGTGTGTTGTGGTGAGAAGAAATTTGTCTATACCGCAGTATATACTGCAGACGTTTTTTTTTTATCATCTCTTTATATCTATGACTTTGTGTGTGTGCGTCTGTGCCGCCTCTGTGAGAGATTCAGGGGAGGATAATCTGCACGATGCTTTAGCAGTGCTATAGGATCACACTGAGGGTTTTATTCCCTAAGTGACATTGTGAAAGACGCGTGTGCGAAACATAGATGTGCAGAGTTCCCATGTATGTTTCACTGAGCGAGCTTTAGGGTGTATGAGAATCAAGCACACTCTTGTTTATGCATGCATGCTGCTGCCCTGTGTGTCTTTGATATGTGTGTGTGTGTGTGTGTATGTTTCTCCACACAACCCTATGCATAAAAGAGATTAGTCCACAAGCCAGAGCTACTTCTCTGATATGGAAAAAACTGAGTCTGGTTTTTTATCTGCTCTGCTTTTGGGCTCAGATCTGTTAGTCTCGCTAGGCCCTAGACCCACTCAAGGCAACTTAACACACGTATACAGACACTCCTATTCAGTAACTTTCACATCATGACCTTATGATAACCTGGTAGTCTATAAAGGCATCTGCATGTTCGTCTGTCTTACTCATTGCTATTTTACTCTGATTTATGCATGATGGCATAGCTGCCTTCGGCTAGGTGCCTCCCGTTCTGTAGTAAGCTGCAGTTGCACGATCACAATACAGTGCAGGAAGGCACAAACCATTCAAAGAACCACTGACTAATTAACCAAATACAGATGTGAACAGCTGCAAAGTGACTGCAAACCCTTACAACAGACAACAAATAAGCAGGTTTGCTGACAATGAGACCAACCCTGTTCCATCTTATTAGCATGTGCTGTATGGGATGTTCACTATATATGCATTAGTCCAATAAAACTTTCTCCCCGTAACTGCTGCCAGCTGCCTTCTTTACTTCCCTAATCCACTGTGAGAAGAGTCAGTAACAGCGGGAAGGGGATCAACAAGCGAAGTTTGGCTGAGGTAAAATTAGATTTCTTCCCTCCTCCCAGGGTGCCATCAAAGCTTTGTCAGTCATCGAAGTTGAAGCTTGAGTGTTGGTGCACGCAATAGGACTACAAGATTTTTAAAGCCATCCAAGCCTATCTGACTGAATGCATTAGGTTCAATCAAGAATTGACTACTTCCTCTCATTAGCACACAAGAAAATACATTACACTCAGTAAGAATCAGATGGGGTGTCTGGTGAGAACTAGCATTCACAAACAGATGGACAAATTCTGATCCAACCACTTCACTTCGCGTGCTGACATTCATTCATCTGAACTGTTGTGTTATTTTGCCTACCAGTAGCAACAAACAACCGTGCTGTAAAGCCATGTTTGTGTTATACACAAGTCCTGAAAGCAAACCAGCTTTGTTGAAGTTACAGATTAGTTACATTCTCTGTGAGAATGCAAGCCAGATGGCATAAGCTTTAGCTTTAAAAATGCATGGTTTCCTCACAGAGGTGCTAAGACAGCCATGGTGTGTTTTCCAATTTGTAGTTCATAATACAATTAAGGCATGTCCAGGGTTTACCCCGCCTCTTGCCCAATGACAGCTGGGATAGGCTCCAAACCCCCCACAAATCCTCAATTATAGTAGGTAGGTATAGAAAACTGATTGATGGAGGGATGATTAAATTTGAGAATGCAGTGCAGAAACACAACTAAAACAATTACCTAGACCTAGACGAATTGGAAAATAAATATTTGCTAAGATGACTGACAATCGTTATAAATCTATCTGCCTCCATCAAGTTGTGAAAAACGACAAACTGTCATTGATGCCTAGGGTGTGAAATGTGAAACAGGGGCTTCATCGTGGCAATACTGGAGAATGGAAGAGAATACGAGCGAAAGATAAGAAACAGCAGGAGAAAACACCAAGGGGGCAAATGGAAGATGAAGGGATGCAAAGAGAAGGGGGGGGATAAAATGGGCAAACTAACACAGAGCCAGTTAGACAGGATACACAAAGATGATAAAAGAAAGAGTTTAAGGGGAATAAGAGAGATATTGCAGCACAACAGGCTATGAAGATTTTACCGGAAATTTTAGAGTTTGTTTCTCCTAGTTTTTTATAAATACAAAGAGGTCATTTTTAAGTCTTGAAACAGAAAGGAAATACCTCAGATCGTATAATCTTTTTCATATTTTGAGTTTCTAACCATTTTTATGCTACTTGTTAGTATTCCAAGTCAGTTAAGCTGAAAGTAGTTATTATAG